TCTGCACCTCTACACACACACACACTGCAGGTGGTTGTGCCATGATCTGCACATCGTGCTTCGGTCCCTACCTTCCTAGGGAGATAAAAAACAAGAAACATTACACATCTGTACAAAAGGAAAAACTGTATGTTGTTCTCCAGACTAGAGACTGTGACCAAACCAAAGATCCCTAGGACTTCACCTTCACAGCTTAGCTACCATCATCATCCTCATTGCAGTTGCCCTTAGATCTCCCTGATGGGTCTCTGCAGCTGCCCCCAGCACTTCTGCATTTTCAAGGGAGGAGTGAGAGGGCTGCAGTATCACCTCTCACCACGGGGTGGTAGGTGTTTTCTGATGCTTAGAAGGGAACAAGTTTTAATAGGCCTCTGAGTTTGTGAACTAACTCCTCAGCTACAAAGAAAGCAGAGGCAAAAGTAAATGAGGACAAAAATCCCAACTGTTTATGAGCTTGTGAATAAACTAAAGTAGGGGAAGCTCACATATGTTGGGTGCAAAGATGAAAAACAATCCTCAGCTTCAACTTGAGTTATTATTGCTACTGTAAGGATTTGGTTGGCCCTTCCTTATCCGGTCTCTTTCTGTTAAGGAACTTTTTAGTTACGTAAATGTGTTTTATGTCATCAACAACATGAACCTTTGGTTATTTTTGGAGATAAAAAGCATTCCCAACCTAAATATTAGGTAATTTGGAAGCAAACTCATAATGAAAAAAAAAGCAGATTCAGGATCTGTAAAGTTGTATATCTATCTCATGCTGTACACAGATACATGGAACACCTTTACCATCCAAGCTACTAACACAGTTGGTCTTGTTTCTGGAATTTCATCAAAAATGTTTAAAGATCTAATTAACGAACACTTTCAGTCAAGGAAACAATTTCTGTCTATAGATCAGAGGAAAAAGTAAGTTAACACCACAGACATTATCACTCACCAATTATTTCTGACAGAAGCTACTTCTTTCTCATCTCTTCTGTTATTTTAATTCTCATCTTCATAGCACTGTGAAGGCTAGTAAACAAAGCCTGAAAAAATCTAACACACCAATAATCTCATGTTGGAATTCAAAAAGGCTAAAGCCAATCTTGCTGATCCCATACTAACAAGACTTGTACTGCTCTATCTTTGTCTAGTTTGAGAATCTCACACAACTCTCATTACCACAATAACAAATACACATTTACCCAAATAACCTGCCTTTGAAATCAAGAATCACCATTTTACAAATGTAAAATACAGAGATCAAACAAGCTAGTAAGTCTGCCTGGCTGTTTAATTGCCCCTCTGCCTTTACAGAGGGCACAGCAAGCCTTTCCCAAGTCTGCCAACTTCTCTTTGCCATCAGTCTTGTAAGAGTCCCAGTCCTTGGCCAAAATATAAGCAAACAAATACTACAGACTCCACCTTTCCAAATAATTTCTTCTTACTGCTGCTCATATTCAGCCTGTCTAATCAGTAGATCCACACCTTCCCTAGCCACTTAAGACCAACTGACCATAGCCATGCAATCAAGACTAGCTGAACTCGGGACCCAGGAAAAGCACTTTTCTGCCAAAACAGGCAACAAGCCCAAATCTTCATTTAATAGTGCTCTGTCCTTCTGCCCAAAAAAATGATGCAGAAGTTTACAAGATACATTGAATCTAGGTATGAAGAACCAAGTCTTTTGCCTTCATGGACAGAATGACGTGATATGCTGCAAAAATTACACAAGTGGGCTGCTCTGCAAGTTATTTTAAATGCCATACACTTTCTTTGACCTTGTTTAAACAATTCTGCTGTCTGACAAATAATTTCTAACTATTTCTGGCCACAAGTCAACAGTGTTGCCCAAACTTAAACAACTGTAAGGCAGAGTTTACTTTTTTTTCTTCCTCTTGCTAACAGCTTGACTTGGAATTGTGGGAGGTAGTTTGAGACAGTGAAAAATATGCAGTCTCTCGCACAAAGCACTGCCCAGGCTGAGCTGCAGCTCCCCGTTTTTCAGTAGTAGTTCAGGAAGAAGTCTGGTTTAGAATTTCTGTACAACTTATTTCTAAGCAAGCATCTGGGCCCATGCTGACTACCCTATCCTTTATGGTAGACTTCCAAAGGACAGTCCCAAACCCATCCTGCATTTCTCTCCATAAATCAAAGGGAAGTGCATGCAGCAAGTGAGGCGATTTGGACACTGTCACCACTTTGCTGGATATGCCTCACAGTTGACCTCACAGCAAAACTAGGCCTTCCTGGAGCACAGCACTATAACTTTGCCACCGAAGAACAGTTTTTGATCTCATTATGTCTTAGACAAAGCTGCAGGAATGAAAGAATATGATGGTTTGGACAGCTTCATAGGAGCTAAAGTGTGTGGGACAGGCCACTCATGATCCTACAGGCACAGAGATGGCAGCCAAAAAAAATGGGAATCCCTGAAGGGAGAGCTGGTCTCCTACAGGAATAGGAGAAAAGTATAATGGAACAAAACTGATAGCCTAAGTAGAGTCTTTTTAGTGTCCATTATCAGATTGGTTATTAATTCAGGAAGAGTTTACTCAGTATAGGTTTCATACCTCTCTGTAATTAGTAACTCTGCTTCAAGTTTCTAGATAAACATCTGTTCATCATCTTATCAAAACTGACTCTTTTTTCATATGGAAAAGATTTTTTACAAAATCCATCTTCCTTTCTTGAACAGCAGTATCTGTTGCAAACGTAAGTGCTTTAAAGTGCCGTGAATCTCGTACATGTTTTTTACACAGCATGACTAGTTGATAGTTCAGTGGTTCCAAGGTGACTGGTGAGAAGGAAAACAGCTGTTTCCCTAGCTGTAATAAAAACAAATACAATAAAGTCAAACACTGACAATCTCTATTTTTTCCAAAAATAGTCTACATTATAACAGAAGATATAAGAATAAATTGAACATTCAGACCCAGTAACTTGTAAACAGATAAACAAGTAAAAAAAAAGTGTGTACATCTCAATTTATGCCATACAAAAAGGAAAAAAATGTATTTCAAGTATACCAATCCAGTGTGTGGTGAAGTTTAAAGCTAACATTTTCAACCTTCAGAGCTGAATTTATACAGAATCCACCTATGAACTCTTAGAAGCAGCTTTATTTCCATCAGACATGAATTCTTACATTGACTTTCCAAAATCTTCAAGGGATCAAAACTCATCTCCAAAAGACCACAGCGTTTCTTCAAAATTTTACAAGTTTTAGCCAGAAAACAGGAAAAGGGGTAGATTTCAGTTGAACATTTGACTCAGGAATGCTGCTGCATCATTTTGTATTCCCACTGTGAGTCTTAGGTGAGTGTTCCAACTCCTTGCTGGACTGGATCTACCAAAGCAGAGCATATTATAATACCACACACATATAGCTGTGGTATGTTATGGGAGGGAAAACTTGTTGGCATACATGCCAGCACTCATCACTCAGAAGAACAACTTAACACACAGACATATGATCCTAAATCATGCATGCAGTCAGCCCAAGGTATGGGGATTATGTTGGACAAGCTGAATTATGAGCTATTTGCATATAGGCACTGGATGCCTCTGTAGGAACTGAAAATAGCAGACAGCCCAGCCACAGCAGTAGTCCTCAAAGCTGAACTAGAGCATCTAACTAAGGACAGAAGATTATTTGCAAAAGTTAGAGTTGACAGACATCTGTCTGGAAACCCTGGTTCCTAGAACGGGAACATGAAACATTTGAACTGCAGCCCCAACAAGATAGAGCACTACAATTGCCTCTTTAAAATATAACTAGAAAAGTGAAAAGTTCTAAAGTGTAGCAGCTTTTTTGAGGAATGGATAAAAAAAGTTATTAAAAATTCCAGTCTTTTCTAAAAAAAAGTATTAAAAATATATGCAAACCTCAAATTTAAGTCAATCTTTTCAACTTGAAACAAGATTTTCAGCTTCTTGACGTCTGTAAAATAAAGGTAATTTATGTCACCCCAGAACTAATGCCTGACATTGAAAATGTTGGTCCTTACTTCTAGATCCTCTGTAACCATATCACTCAGTATCTATAGTATAGTATTACTAAAGGTCCCTTTTCATTCTTTTGCAGCAAGAAACTCAGTATACAGCATTAGACTTCCCTCAGCTTTGCTACTAAGCCTTAGTTATTTCTACTCAAAAAAGTAAACAGTGTATCAACCTGTAGCTTGTCCTAGTTTTACCCCACATCTTGACATACTATTCACCAGTGCTTTGGTATATACATTAATGTACATATTAGTATTGTCTGAGTTGTCAGAAGAATGGTAGGAAAACGACCAATTTCTGAAATACTTAAAATGTAAACAGTGTAATTCAGAGTATCAAAATCATTTGAAAAAAATCAGTCTAAGCCACTGTAAGTGCTTTAAAAACCATCCACCTGGCTGTAGATGAATTCACCTGTTAATCTTCCATTAGAGTGGCTTTAATCAATACATAAACTTGTGCTAGTTTCACACAAGTGTGCAACTACTTCGGTGTAGGGCAGAAAGTAGGTCAACCCACAGGACTGTAAAGAAAACCACAGCCTGTGAAAAGGGAAGTTATAGTCAATGCTAATGAAACACTGTGGGTGAGGCATTAGCCTCTCACACTGCAGTGAGAGGCATTTGATATACGCACTCCGAGTGTATATTGTCTTCAAAACTTTGGAAACTAATTTTAAGTATAGAGCACTTTCATTGGGGTTTATTGGCCCCTAGAGATTATGGTTGTAAAGTCTCTCTGAATTGCATGATTTCTTCAATGGGTAAATATATGCACTATGATGTAGTAGCATGCAAGTAATTATTTTGTTTAACATCTATTTTTGCTTAACATCTGTTCTTGTTTAGAAATGAGATTTAAAGCTTAATTTGCTCAAATGTGATGTTGAAACACTGAATTAATTGTAAAATGCAAATCCAAATTGCTACTTAGAACACTGAGGTGTTCCTGTGCCAGAAAGTGTCATAAAGCTTAAAAAAAATAAAAAGGAAGAAAAAAATTACACCTCATCTTTTACTAGATAGAACATACAAAATTGTGGAAGGGCTGCCAGTAAGGCCAAGAGATTTGCCTTCTAATTGTGGCTTTCCCAATAGCAACAGCACTCAATTGATTTGGTTCACAACTGCTGCAGTAAAACCAGTGGTCTGACTTTTTCATTCCTCTTCTGCTTAGGAAGCCTACGCACAGTAGCAAAGAAGCTGAAGGTATTTGTAGGCTCAAGAACACAACCTGGAGATAACCCACTTTGGTTACCTCTGCAACCCTGAGGGCATAGATCATACATATGTGTATACAGTAGATAAAGCTTACACAGTATATGAACCATCAGTACAGGCTTTCTCTTTTGCAAGGAAAACATCCAATATATTAGTGGCAGCTAGTCCCAATGTTTAACATGTACAGACTAACAACTTTTTTTGACCTAGAAGTCATTCTGGTAAGTTCTGTTCCCCCTCTTGGGCCATTCCTCCTCCACCCATTTCAGCAGCACTTTCACAACATCAATTCTCTTATAAAATTTACAGAGATCAATCAGCTGCTCCACAGTCCGGTCACTATTCCGTAACAAGAACTCCAAGGTGGGACTTTGGGGTTTTTGTTCAAGGAAGCATAACTCATCATAAGTCATCCCCCACTTGCTTGCTAAATTTCTCCAGTTTTTCACTGTTGGGTGGCAGGGGTCCAGCTTTAGCCTCACTGTGTACAACAAGTCCTCATCATTGAGCATATCACTGATGGTCGGTGCACGGAATAAGCACAAGGAGCAGGTGACATTTTCCTTGCAGGTTTTCTTGAGATCTGCAGCAAAAAACATTACATAGGGACAAGTTAGGATCTGTTGCTGTGGTTTCACCAGGAACAAAAAGTTAAAAGCATAAAGGGTTGAAGAGTATTATGTCCCTAGAATTTGCTTCTTAAAAAGTCAATATAGTGACATGCAATGCCTTTCCTTGTGAAGAAAGCTCATGAAATGAACTTTCTAAGACTGCTCTCTTCACTGCACTCAGTGGCTTTAATCAAAAGGACAGTAGTTTTGAAAGGTCTATATTTATACTTCTAACAGAAAAGACATGGGATTCAATGCAGTGTGTGAGCTAGAATACTGCCCTTTTCTGTTTCTGGGAACTATGTCCCTTCCTTGCCACTTACATCACAAACAGGATTATATGTGCATTATGTGCATCTAATAATACATGTGTTGTAGGACGAAAGAAAACGTTTTGCATTTCTGAGCTGCTGCCTTCATAACAACAACTGACAGCTGCAAACACAACTTACATCTAGTACTTTACCACAATGAAAAAGTAGAAATGTTCCTTTGCTTTCTAAGGGCTCTTAAAATAAAAGCTGTCCCTGTTCTACCAAGGAAGCCTATTTTAAATGTACATTATGGAATAGTATGAAGTGCATACTCCTCCATGTCTGAGAAAAACGAAATACCAAGTTGCTGGAAGGAGGTGCTGATATGTTCTAAAATCTGCATCAAATACCAAAAATTGCCATTTAGAGTTCTCCTACACACAACAGTTTGTGTATCCCCAGCATTGTGAACAATGTGGTACTATCAGACTGTATTATATATTAATAACCTGTAAAAGCATGTTGAAACTAGTTCTAGTCATACCTCTAGTCTAAGACCAATAACAAGACTTTTCACATTGCAGTGATGTAAGACATGGTTTGAGCATTTTGGCTGCAGATATGACCTTAATTCTCCCTGGTCCTTTTTGAAAGCAGGGAGAATTTGGTATCTCCAAAGAGTATTAGATAATGGACACAGCCTAGAAGCATTTTCTAAAGCTTCTACATCCAGCCTCATTGTATAGGGATGAAACTCTTTGAAAAGGGGGATGATATAAATCAGAAGATTGATTAAAACCAACAGAAAACAGTGGCACAATTTACAAGCACTGGATTGGAGTCTTGAACTGTATCTCTGGCAAAGAACAAATTTATTTAATGCCACCTACTCATACAACAACAGCATCTGCTAAGGTTGTTTGTGGGGTTTGTGGTAGGTGTTGAGGGGTGTTAATTATTAATTTATTTGTAGTAATTATTGTCAGATCATGTGAAAATGCCAGAAGGACTCTCAAATGGTGAGCTGAATGTAGTGTCTGTGTGCACTCTGTATTTTGATTTTAAGAAAAGAACAGGCTATTGTTATTTTTGTAACACTGCTCATGAGGCTGCTTTTTTAGCAGGCCAAAGACAACCTCTGAAGTTTTCAACAAGTCAGGACGTGCAGCAACAACACTGCTGCAGACACATAACTTCATACAAAAGCTTAGATTCCCTGTTAAGGGCAAACATACTGGCGACATCTTTGCTCACAGGTATTCCACAGGCCTTGCAGCTGTTCTTTACAGAAATATGTATGTTAATTCTTTTGTTCTTCTTGTGCACCCTAAACTCTTGCTGAAGTGAAACAAAACTTGATCATTTCATTCATACTAACATTTACTTACACAAACAAGGCCAAAGGAATATAATCCAGAGTTCTGGCTGAGCTCAAAGGACAGGAGAGCACCCTATCTGAATTTCATCTTATTTACTCTGGCAGGGATATCAGAGTAAGTTTTATCCTCCAATAGAAGCAGGGAAGAAGGGGTAAAGAAAACACAGGGCACAGTTACAAGTAAACAAAACTAAACCAACCTGCTTCTTGTGCTATACCATGTGCTGACTATCAAAAGCATCATAAAGAATCATGTTTTTCTAAGATACTCTATGCTGGACACTGAAAAGCAAATAATGACCTACTCAACTAATTGCATAATCCTAATGCAACATGATAGGACAAGCTTCTTTACTATAAGGAATCTCTCAGTTTCTCACTGTTAGACTAAGAGAACTGTCTATCATACACACCACACCCCCCAGCAGACCTCATATAACTGTGAGATTAGCCCCACAGCCTACTGCCAGCTTCTGCTCTCTCCCAATAGCTATTTACAGATCACTTCCAAAGGTGGACAGACTAGATGCGTTTGGAAAGCCCAACCTACACATTTAGTATGGTCTGCCTTATTGATCACCACCCTCTTAGAGCAAAGGGGAAGCTGTAAATGACACTGGTAATGAAATGAGCTCCACAAGCACTGATTACCCAGGCAGTTCTTGTTTACAACAAATAGCAATTGTTAATAAAGTACTTTCAAAGAAAATCTAGGAATAAAATAGGCAGAACAATAAAGTTGACATATTACCTGAAAGTGAATTGTCAGTATGGTTTTGTGTGTCTTTGTCTTCTGGCTACAAAGCAGAAAACAAATATAAATCAAAATAAAACAATGTACTAGAACACCAATAAAACTATTTGGCTAATTTACAACTGGCAGGAGATTACTTAAAAGAATGCTGAGCTGCTTTCAAAGTCAGACAGGGAATATATATGGTTTTGAGGAATTATTACCAATCCAAAGTCTTTTCAGGCAGCATTTCCATGCTTTGGCTCACAAAACTGCCCCATTTGTTGCATTCACTGGATAATGGCATCTTTATTAATGGTATGCTATAGCACTGTATCTTTTGAGTAATTTGCTCTTAAACCCTCAACAGCTGTTGAGCTGTTCAACAATTCATATGGTTTGATTAAAAACAATCTTTAAATGTTTTGTGTTTAAGAAAACCCAAGAATTTTGACTGTAACACGCAGCAGTAAGGGACTGCTTTATTGATCCTGGAAAAGTGGAGGAGCTTTTTTTACAAACTTCTTTACATACATAGGAAGCTTTTCTAGACAACAGGTGGACTTGAACCTTTCTGGTGGCTCGCATCTAACCTTCCTCCTGTTTGGAGTAAACATTCCCTCAGTGGTTTTTCGCCTGCTAATTAAACATAACAAAATTACTTAGCAGCTTGAGATTCTTACACAGGTTGTAACATTTTGATTCTACTGGTTCGAAACTTCTAAACACTGGAAGGACAGCCCCTTGACCCTAGAACTGCAGGAAACTGCAGTTGCCCTTTAACTATGTGGGTGTGGAACGAGATGAAATATCTTTCTTCTGCTGAGGATTGGAAGATTAAAGCAGAAAGGGATTTTCGCCTTAGAGAGCTGCAATAAAGTACTGTTGATTTTTTTCTTCTTTCTGTTGATTTCTTCCAAAACTATCACAGCAGGATTCTTGACATATTGCAGGTTGTGCATTGCAAGCATGAGTCAATGTATACATATAGTACCAATCTAGTGTAATAAGATACTCTATTCCTACCTGTTACACCTTCTTTACTAAGAAATCTGCTAAAAATAGAATACAGGCAGTTTCAGTTGTAGCAGTGAATTTGCATATGTTCACAACCCAATTATAAAAAAGGTGAACTACCTCCAAAATATTTACAGACTTTGTGAGAAAAGGAAAAATTTGCATACTGTTTTCAGCATTTCTTTATTCCCTGAAAACTGCAAGATCACACATGCAACATCAAAATGTCTGCTCTCTGCTCAAGTGAAATACATGCAACAGAATAAGCCTTGCCTTTATCTTCTGGTAGTTTACTTTGCCACTGGCACCACCAGCTTTATCTAGACATATTTTTAAACATGAACGTGGCCTTCATGGCAACATGTGAGCACCTAACTTTTAAGAAAAAGTAAATCTGAAGTTCCTGATTATAGTACTTGTCTCCACTCACACAAATTCCTTAAAGAGGCAAGTACTAATACTGAGCCCTGAGGAGCAAATTTTTAAAAGGGTAACTCATTGGGAGAATGAGAAACTTCCCAGCACAGCTCAGCCTCCCCAGAGAATTCCTGGAAGTTCCACTGTATTGCAAAAACTAATACTTAAATGCCTTTATGTCATTACACACATCTTGTGATAACAAAATAACTAGAGTGGGTAGTGCTGCAAAAAGTACAGAGAAAAGCAGGAATACTTACCTGTGCCATATATCTGTTTTCAAAATTCCTATTTTTACCGATCAGTCATTATCCACTTTTATCAAGTCAGATGCACTCAGGTTTATTCAAGACCATTTTCTTGTAATGTAATTGCAATAAAACAGTGTAGTGTTACTGCCCATGAAATGAAGGCATTAAGCAAGAATATTTTTTGTCCACAACAAAGATCCAATCAGCCTCTACAGGTCTAATCAAGCCATAAACCTATTCACAGTCTGAAGTTAACAAGAAAGTTTTCCAGCTCTGTAGAACCATTAGAACCCTAATACACTGTGTTATCTTTATAGTGATTCTAAGCTGTCAATGCATGCTTTCTTCTTGATGATGGGAATGAACCATTACCTCCATCATCTGTGAAATGCATACAAAACTCATGTTTGTTTCTGATGAAATTCAGCTGAGACTCTGGCAGGAGGAACTCCTTTTAATTCTTGTCTCACTGGAAAATGCTCATTCCTTTCTCTTGTCCAAGTTTTCTGCTCAACCCAAAGAGAATCAATTTGAAATTCAGCAACTAACATTTACTTGAAAGATGATAACCACAGAGCATGGGAGTCACCCAACATGGCCCATCCTATGGCAAGGTAAGGTTTCATAAATAGCAGAAAGTGTTTCAGCTATGGGAAGAGCAGTGTTCCAAAACCAAAGCAAAACAGTCAAATGCCTCCCCTAAGGCAAAACCTAGCATTCCTTACTTCTACACTTATTCTCTGCCCTGGCTCTATTTTCAACAGGAAAGAGGGAGAACATGCATGACAAAGCCTTAACTATTTCCTGGCTCTTTTTCAGAGCATCTACACATTAATCAAAACCTATTTAAACTAAAAAGTACATGTTAAGGATAAAATAACCTTTCTTTTACTCTTCACAAAATCTCACTTCATTGAACTCTTGCAAAGAGAGGCTATTTCTAGTCTGTTTTACTTAGTAATTCTGTGCTCTCCAGATATAGACTGAAAATATTTTTATTTGTTAACATACTTATTTAATCAACAGCAATAACTTAGTTTACATTCAAGTATCATATTTCTTACCTGTTGGATTAGGCCAGAATCTGATGTAAGGGTCTTGATGTTCACAGATGCAATTTCCAATGTAACTTGATCTGTTAGATATTCCTCATCTACGACAAAGGATGTGAAACATTGGTCTTCCACTCAAATACACATTTAAATAGTAAGGCTATCAAACATATATTATGGATGCCTGACATATAAAATTCAACTCCATATCATGATCAGCCACTGGGAATTGCTAGATTAGAAGCCCAAAATATTAATCAGCAGAGACTGTAACCATGATGGAGAGCACAACTGTGCAAAGAAATATAATCCTTGCAGAGATTAGATATTAGAATAGCAGTTGTTTTGTAAACAAACACCACAGTATTTTTAAAGCAAGAGTCATGTTATTCTTTCAGAAAGCTGACTGCAGAATATTAACTGAACCAATGCATCAAAGTAGCCTGAAGACGTCTGTTGCGAGCCACTATAATTTTTGGTTTGCTTTTCTCATCACACAATGATAGGTGTTGAAATATGTACTGCATAAACATTTACCTTTTATTCTGACTCTTTGTGAACTGGGCTCATCCTACTCATTTCTACTACACAAGAATTTTCTGAAGCACTGAAATAATCCATTTCAAAGTGTGTTTATCAACTGCCGAGGGAGTCCACTGAAAAGTACAGCATTCCTCAGTACAGCACAAACTCTATTAATCCTTCAAGCATCACTTCAGCCCTCAAAATGGGATACAAGGGGTACATAAATAATTTTTGAACCATGTGCAAATGGACAAACTTCACTCTGCATGATTAATAAGGTACTCCTAATCAAATCGTTTGCATAATTCCCCCAGGTCAGGTGCTAACCAACCATTGACACAAGCTTAGAAGAGGCTAAATTCTACATGTTTTACACACAAGAATTCTCCATGGAGGTGACTACATTTATAGTGCTGGTACATTTCCATTTTCTGTTTGTTTAGTGGTAAAACCTCATTAAAGATCAGCTATTATCTTTATGAATCATCAGATAACAAAATGAAGGCAGATTTCCTTATCTTACTTAAGAAATCGATCTGAATCAAAAGAATTCATCTTTACTCTCGGAAGAAAAAAAACCCCAAAATCGTTATTTTCCTCTTTTTCCGGTTTTATAAGACTCTTGAAACTTGAAGCCAAATAGTAATTCACCTCTAGCTGTGCCAATGTTTAATACAGATCATAATGATGATGCCCCAAAATGGCCCATTAATTAATTGACCTATAAAAGCAACTCTCACCAATGTACTGTCTAGTCAAACATTAAATCAGAAGCAAACATTATTGTGTTACACAGTCAGACCTGCACATCTGTTACACTTTTTAGCTCACAGTTTCATATTTCTTAGCCTGTGTTTTTATAGAAATAGTTATGAAAAGTCATTCTCAGGAAAAAAAAATAAATCACAGAAATGAACAGGATATTAAGAGGTATTTCTATCACTTTCAACTCCAAAGAGGAAATGTCAAATTATGTTAGCACTTACATCTTCTTACACTTAGCAAGAGGAAACAGAAAGTAAAATTAAATATGAACCAAGTTTACTTCCTTTCTACACAAAGTGCTGAAATTTCTATGTGCACCTTAGCTTTCCTTTTAAAATTAAATACATTTAAAACATGCAATTTCAGATTTCAAACAACTTGGACAAATCTGAAATTTAGGAATTTATCTAATTAATCTTGAGTAGGATGGGTGAAGTAAAGAGCAGGACATGGAAAAGAATGCTACAGAGTAATTGCTTTAGTGCTAATAAACAATTTGGAAGGACCAAACCACCTGCCTGCAAATAAACAGAAAGAAGTTAATGATTTCAAGTAGTTTTCATCCCACATTCTCCTTCCTTACTGAGCAGTGCTTCTGAGAAGATGCTCTCTTCTTCTGGCTGGCTTCCTCAAACCCTCAGAATATCCTCTAATCTTTCTTCAACCCCAGTGCTACACTGCTAACACTCCTCAGCAAATGTTTCCTTTGTGACTAACTTCTGCATAGTTTCCTGTGTCTGTCCTTCTGCAGACCTGCTGTGCAACACAGGCTGGAGAACACACTACCTGCAGTGCTTCTCGACCTAGCCCCTGCCAGTGCATTCCCTGGACAAAAGCCAATGGTGAAGCCTGGGATGACTACAAAAAAACCCTTCCCCACATGTCAAGGAAACCATAAGGGGGATCTTCACAGTGTAATCCATGTATTTGACTTCAGTGCAACATAGAACCTGCACTCCCTTGCCTCATTTTCAGTGAGGAGAGGCAGGAACTTGTGCAGAGTGGACCTATATTAGGCTCCCAAGTAGATGTGGTATTAACACCTGCTGAAGGTAAAAGATGGCTCAAAGTGTTGATTAGTTACAAGGCTGAGACTTCAGTCAGAGGCAAAAGATCTGAAATGTATTTCTTGATTACATTTCTGACAACCTGAAGGCACTGCTAATCTCTTCAAAGCCACCTTCTAACATTATGATGTCTCTGCCATCTGTGGTCTGACCACTGTTTTTTGATGGGACCACAGATTGAGAACCCAGATCTGATGATAGCTTTAGACTGACTTTTAGATCAAAACTAAACTTTGGAAGGAAGTTTCAAAAGTTAGAGATACACACAAAACTGACCTTAAAAATACAGAAGAGGACATGATATTTAAAACATAAACATCTAGGGAAAACTCTGAGTTTTTCAATGTGTGGGATAACAGTACAGGTTTTATTGTATGTAACAACACAGATCTATGACACCTGAATAGACAGAATTCACAAAAATTACCTTTAGGTACTCCTGTGTCTTGGACAGGATATTTTTCAGTCTGTCACAAAAAGGCAAGAAACACAGATGTTTGTTATTTTGACTGTAATTGTGCTGCAGAAAGAGTACATAGAACTGCATGATTATAGTTGCATCTCTTAAGCTGGTACTGGTCAACCTGTTCACGATCAGATACAGTAACACTTCTTATGTGGGAACTGAGTTGCTAATTACACTACTGATTATCAAGTGCAAAAGTAATAGAGATTGCTGCTTTGCTACAGTATTTTTAAAGCTAACACTTTTCAGTGAAAAAGCAGAGATTGGGAAAGAAATTTTGTACTTAAGTAGCAAGATAATCTAGAAAAGGTAGTGCATAGCAGAAGGAACAGGAATGACTTCCAATGCTCTTTTTGCAGACATAAGCTTTTAATAAAATAATGTTACTGTATTGAAAGAAAAATATTTTCCCCTTCTGCTCTAAACTTAAAGAGCTGATTAAGATGCAATAGAAAACTATTATTACTAAGTTTAAGGAGAAAGCTACTGATTTCTGGGGCATGTTATAAGTTACTGCTATACCTGAAATCTACCGCTCCCTCTGACACCTACCCTTATGCAAAAGTAGGTGTGGCTTTTAGAGAAGCTCATAACCAAGCAAACAGATTAAAAGATCTTAATTCAAGGGAGAGTGAGGGGGTGGATGTGTGCATTAAAAAAACTTCCATTTGTCTCAGACATATCAACTTTCCCTCACATTTTAGAAAACCTCCCCTTAGCAAAACACAGTATCTAATTTAGTCAGCCCACAAAAACAAACACAAAGCCTACAGCTTTCATTAAAACCTGCTAACACAAATGCACATACACAGATTGCAATAATGGATCCCAGTGAGGGATCAGCATTAAAGTACTACTGAAATTTTTAGAGATTCACAGAATCACAGAAGCAGTTAGGCTGGAAGGGACCACAGTGGGTCATCTGGTCCAACCTCCCGGCTCAAGCAGGGCCATCCCAAAGCACATGGCACAGGATTGCATCCAGAAGGCTCTTGAATATCTTTAGTGAGAGAGAATCCACAACCTCTCTGGGCAATCTGTTCCAGTGTGCAGTGACTCGTACAGTAAATAATTTCTTTCTTGTATTCAGGTGGAACTTCCCATGCATAAGTTTCTGCCCATTATCTCTTGTTTTATTGTTTTACACCACTGAGAAGAGCCTGGCTCCATCTTCTTGGCACCCTCCTTTAGATCCTTATAGACATTAATGAGGTCCCTCTCAGTCGTCTCTTTCCCAGACTGAACAGGTCCAGCTCTCTCAGCCTTTCCTCATAAGTGAGGTGCTGCTGAGTCCCTGTTGCAAAGCTTCAAAATGGGAAGAAAACACCAAGGCAAAGGAGCCATTTGCTCACTTGCCACTAATAAAATTAAACCAATGCATTTCAATCTCTTCAGCTACATCTGACAACAGTCTTCTGTGGGATACATGGCAGTGTAAACCTTCCCCAGAATAAATAAATATTCCGTAGCAACACTAAAAAAAATAGAGCAACCAACAGCCCAAACATCCTAGGACTGAAAAATTTGTCCTAAACGGTGTTACCCTGCCAGAAAGCACTAGAGGGCACCCATGCTTGCCTAGGGCACTGCTGTCTGCCTCTGCCTTTGCATGGCTTCAGCTCATCGGGTACAGTAAGGAACAACAGCTTAGTACAATTGACATATTAAGCCATAGGGTTTTTTCCTTAGCCCTACAAACTACATAGATGGAAGAATGTCAGCACCAAATTTTCTCAGTTGTTGGAGGGGTTTTTTTTTAATTAAAAAAGATGTTACTGTGATAGACTCTGGAGGCAATCCCATGGACAGCTCCACTGATACCATCCAATTCAGCTGATGTGCCTACTGGTATTTTTATTTACCCTCTAACTGCACAAGGTTAGCAAATTAAAATCTGTTTATGTAATCATGCAGATAAGCAAAATGCTATATATACACTCACAGTTTGAGTTAACATCCTTGAATGTTTTACTTCACTTCTGCATTACATAACAGTAGAGAGCTATAATGACTTGAACTG